CAGCCGCGATGCCTCCGCGTGTCGCTGCGCTGCGCGGCCCGATGTTTCCCCCACCCTCGCGCGACTACGCCGTAAAAAACTAGTCCATCGTAACGCCGTGGCCGTGACGGGACGAGGATCCGCGTCGAAATCGATATCGAAAAATATCCGAGACTTCGTACTGTCCCGTCCGATCGACGGATCGTCCGTACGTATCTTCGTTCGGACGATATTCGGCCACGAGTGTGACCGCGCAGTGGTACATCGCGCGCCGAGAGGGCGTCCCCGGCTGCCATATTTAGAAGTAGACGTTACCATATTAGGGAAAGTTTGCCAAATATGGTGAACAGAGGTGGTCCTTCCTTTTCGAATGATCGTACGGCGCGCCGCTACGAAACACCAATCCAACTGACAGTAGCGGCTTCCTGCACGCCTTTCCGGCCCCCCCTGGCCGATCTGCATTTCTGCTATACGTGACCGCAAATCGCGGCGGCCGACCGTATAGCTGTTACGGAATGTAAACTTTACTTCCGAGTTTATTGTACCGCCGACGACGCGTCCTCGCTACGTGCGAACTTTCGGCATGGTATTATCAGAATGGGAGGAGGGGCCAAGGGGGTGAAACGTACGTTGCCTTTGGGCAATAGGGAGTTTTTGCAATAACGTGAATTCGGATAAGGTGAACGCTAAAGTCACGCTGTCCTTTTTTTAATTAGTTGTTAAGAAGAAGATAATCTGACCTTAGCGTTCACTGTATCTGGATAATCTGCGGAACTCTAAACGAGGTGTTGACGATGTTACGCTGTCATACAAACTTGCGATCAAACATTCGTTACGTTTCGCAATTGACTTGCCAATATAGCTTCATTTTAATCTCGAGGTTCAACTAACTCGTCATGTATCAATTCTAAAAATTAGAAAAAGATGAGGAGCAAATTGAATCAAGATTAAAGTTTATCTACATTGATAGGATATCGCCAATGTAGTTTGATTAATGTCAAGTTCAATTAACTCTTCAACTTTCTTTAGTTTCAAAAATTAGAAAAAGATGAAGAGTGAATTGAACCGAGGTTAAAGTTATTCTATATTGGTAGAAACGGCATGATCGAAAAATTGTCTCGCATCGATTTATATCGTGCATGAAATTTTTAAGTCATTAACTATCTTATAGCTTGTAGATTTTGAGATCATAATTGATGATTTTCCCATAAAAGTATTACCAATGAAAATATTACTATTTAAAGTAGGTAGCTTAATGAAAACTTGAAAGTTATTAATTTTATCCATTTTGTCAACATAGAAAATTTATATATGTAAAAAATCTTTTTCTTATATAGACTGGCATACAAAATGTCATTACTTGGTTTCTATGTACAAAACATTTTAACAAAACTAATGCAAAACTAAACAAAACATTGAGGAGCGTTTCTCTGGTATAGAATTCATTACCAAAGTCTGAAAACTAAATAACAAATGATATGATATTTCAGTTTGCATATAATTTATTAAATAACATATTCACAGTCAATATTTTCTAAAAAAACTTATTACTATATTGCGGAATACGATCGTTTTAGTAATACTTCATATAATGTTTTATTTTACGGAGCACTTGAAACGTTTTTCTAGAATTAACAGAAATCAAGATTGTTCACCAGATGATATCGCGCGAGCGTGAGACATAAGAGTGTCGTGTATCTCACGAGCATATGCTACTTGCGCGCGCACTGTCATTAAAAATTGTGGATAAGACAACGCTGGTCCCTCCTGCGTGCTCACCGTGTCGGTACGAGTTGTTATAACGGACATCGGTAGGTATCGAACCGAACTGGAATGCTGGGACAAACACTCCACAGAGGTCTTTAGATGCAGTTCTATCTGGTCGCAAATGGAATAGAATTCTTCCATATTCTTGTTGAATCGATGATCTGGCTGTTCTATACCCTTCATGGTTCCTACATCGACCAAGCTATTTTGATGCAACGTCTGCGCCGCAGTTTTAAGAGCTATGGCTAATGACTCCCTCAAAGGTCCAACCAGAGATTTTACTTTAGAGATATTATCGAGCTTGTCCTGTGTTTGTTGTTGCTGTTGTTGCTGCTGCTGCTGTTGCTGTTGCTGCTGAACTTGTTGCTGTTGCGTTTGTTGCGCTTGTTGTTGATTCTGAGGCAACTGAGGATTTACTGGCTGTCCCATCTGTCCCACACCCATAGCACCTGGCTGTTGAATTGGCGGGATATTCATCTTGATCCTATAATTTTTAATTTGCCATGTTGAATATATGTAACGAATAACAACAAAATCTAACAAGAAAAAAGGAAGTTTTCTAGAAGTATTTCTCAAAAGCAATATATATCAAGAGTTAACCAATGACTTTGAACTTGTATCAACCAAACTATGTTTACTATGTAGAAACGTCATCTCCATGCCTCATTTTATCCTTATTTCTTTAAAAATCCTAAAGCTGGAATAGTAATATCATAAATTAAATATCTTTAAAAATCCTAAAGCTGCAATAGTAATATCATAAATTAAATTTATCGTTAATTGAATAATAATGTAAATCTAAACATTGCAAAGAATTTATTACGAAAAATATTACTCCAGTCACAGGGACTTCAAACCTGGATTTCTCGACTATTCGAGGAGAGCATCTTTCCCAATTCAGCCATTTTATCAATTTAAAAATATGCTTTTTTGCATCTCTTACCGATTTTTAGAAATTTGTTGGCCAAACCGGAAAACCTTGATGGCAGTCACTCCGAATGTATATCTCTTTTTTAGTTGATCCCTGTGGTTGAAAGGTTCTAAAAGTGACTTCTTATACCTTAGGATACTCTAGCACAGAGTCTCTTATTATCATTCTTCTAATGTCCTGTTCCACTATTTTTGCAAAATAGCGAGTGTATGTACACAAAGTTTTGCAGGTTAGGTAAGCTTTCGCAATCATCGGAACTGCAAAGTGCAAACCAGTGTAAACACTCGATCGCGGCATTCGCATTTCGCGCACGCGCCATAGTGAATTTCTGTGAATCGTGCCTTAACGTCGGGAGACGCCTCATTGGCGACTCCGTCGACCAATCAGCGCGCACGGCGACGAGGACCGAGTCGAATCACGCATGGCGTCCGGGGGGAACCG